ACTTACCACTGAATATTCAATAAATAAAAAAAATCAAACCCTAAAATCAAATTTTCTCGTTTTGATTTAATAGTCAATCAACAAAATACACTAACACTAAAGAAAGTATGTTTGATTATGGTTCTCTGCCTTGAAATTTTAAAGTTTGTAAGAAATTTTGTGATTTTTGTTTGAGGAGGAACCATTCTGAATATTTTTGAAGATGTGGTTGTATAAGTTAGACTTTATGAGTTGCATGAGTTGGAATGAGATCTTTAAAGTTGTAAAATTCCTGTTCATAGTATCATTTGTCGTACTTATATGAGTGTGTATTGATATAATGTTATACCTTATATATATATATATATATATATATATAATGTTTTAGATAGATGTAGTAAATTTTATATACGAAAATCAATGGTTGGTGTTAGGATTTGGCCTCTCAAAGGTTCTAGCTTTGAGTTGTCTTTGACGTGAAAACACCAGCCACAACGTAAAACAGAGCAAGAAACAAAATGAAGAAGATATAAGAACATAGCAGAAAAGAAAAGGGAGCACACACAACATTTAACGAGTTCACGCCCATAAACTCGGGTTGCTACATCTCGCCGGGATTTCTTCCCGGAATCCACTAGATGATAGAGTGTACAAAGAGATCCCCAAACCCCAAAAGCCCTCTTACAAAGGTTTCTCTCGGTTCTCACTCTTTCACTCTATATCCCAAGAACACTCACCAAGTTTACACTTTTAGTGATGTTCTCTCTCTCTCGATCTTTCTACATTGTGTTGTGCTATCTCTCAATTGTTTGACCGGCTCTATATATATACACGAATAGACCTCATGTTCTTTTTGCATCTTCCACCAAATTCCCTTGTCTTGGCTAGTAGCAATTAATGCTCGTCCTTATCTTGTAGTTTCATAGGAGACAAGACTACTTTTCCTTTTGCTTTATCAGACCTGCATCAACGGTTACTTCCTTGTGGTCCTGCAATTCTTTGGTCACGTGATTCTTGTATATTGAGCTCACAACTTCTTCTCCAAGTCTTTCTCTTTTGTATTTTGTCTTGATCTTCATAGCTAATTCCAACAAATCTCCACCTAGCAATGAGAGATCAAACAAATACCAACCACGAAATAGAAGAGCTTGAGATAGACATGATCATCTAGTTTTGTGGATTCCAATCCCGGTTCCTGAGTATGATTACTCAGACTTGCTCAATCCATACTGCATTTAACTTATGTTCCATGCCCTTCAGCTTTCAATGTTCACACTGCTGAACCTGAGCCACCAAAGCTTCTTGAGATCACAAGAGTTGTGAAAACCAGCTTCAATACCGACTTGTATTGAGCTCAACTCTCCACTGATCAATCCATGAGGCTTTAAAATCTTGAATGCCTGAAATAACTGCTCAGCAAAACACATTAACCAGTTTAAATTTCCATTAAACCAATTAACCACATCAGAACTCTCCATAAGCTCCACCGTTTTTATAAATTCTCCAAAAAAAAAGCTTTGTTTGCCTTTGTTTCTCTGCAACCTGATTCCCTCACTGGCCCTTTTTTTTTTTTTTGATTCTACTCATGTGCTTTAAGTCTTGAATCAAAATTCCTTGAGATTTATGTGCAGCAAACTCTGAATCATACATGTTTCAAACCTGAAACAATCCCTGATTCTTCTCTCTGCTTGAAACATACTAGCCTTGAGCACTTCTTGTACCGCCGTTATCTCTAACAGAACACGCCATCCAACTACCCTCAATGTTGAACAGACTTTCGACACAAGCTTGGTCCAAACACTGTGTTGAAACAGACCTGTTTGCAAAACACATTCTTCTTGAATCAAATACAAAGAACAAAGGCACCTTATCCTCCAATAAGAAACCCTTTGGATCTCCTTGGAAACAACCCCAACAGCCTGTTTAGAAATACTGCATAACCTGAGATTGCCTTCACGTCAGCCTGTATAAACCAACAGCACTGAAACATCATCGTTGTCAAAACCATTCTGTTTAAACAGAACACCAGCCAGCAGACTTCAAGCACTACCAGCACCTTAAAACTTGTCTCATATCAACATAAACTTGTGATAATCCTGAGACGATCATGTACGGCTACTTCCACACCAAATATAGAACCTGCGATACCTCCTTTAGTCATAAGAAATGCCCTGTAATACTTCAACCAATATACAAGACTCCACCAAATGACTTGAAGTCAGCTTCTGAAACATGTCTCACATCCACAACCATGGGAAACGCCTGAGACACCAATGTATAGCCCTTAGCACTTCACTCTAGAACCCTTGAAGTCACTATCTCGCTATACATATATACCCTGCATCACATTCACCTGTATGCAAACTCCACCTACCTTTGGCACTAACATCTTAACCCTCAAAGATCAGACTGAATCTTCACCTCATGAGCTTCTTTTAAGTGTGCCAACTAATAACATCTCAACTTGAAGTTCCTGCAAGTGAATCCTTTGAAGATTCATCCACCAGACCTTCTTAAGATGCAAATAGGTGACCCAGACATTGCTTGTTCTGCTTTTCCGATGCAGCTTTTACCCTCTGCATTCTGATCCTATCTTGGATCTCAATTCAGTTGCAAATACTTAGTTCTTAACTCTGAACTTGCTCCAAAAATTGCAACTGATTTCTAGATGTCTTCACTACCATCAAGCGATAAAACAAAGCTTCAAAAGCTTACCCTGGTTGCAACCTGATTAGCTTGAACCTTTAGACATCTTCATTTTCTCTTGGACCCCTGTTTTCTTCACACTTTATCCTTGTGTACTTTGACTGTAGAACCTCCTGTAGCTACATCCAACAGTCTCCAAGAAAACCCTCCAAGAACGCCAACAACTTTTCCATGAACAAAGTTTCCCCAATCGACTAACCTCTCAGCAATATACCCTTGCAAAACCTGAAGTTTATCTCTTGGTGCATGCATTTGATTTACATGTAACCAGCCTTAGAAACTCGTCCTAAGTTGCTCTTGCTTTCAATCTTATGATATGAAGCTCCACCTTGAGCTAAAATTCCTTGGAGCTCTATATGTCTCATAAGTTTTAACTCCAAACTTAATGAAACATCTTTCTGAAGACAGCTATTTCCTGGACTTGAATCTTGAGACCAAACTGTCCAACTAAACTTTCAACTTAACCGACAATCTTGTTCTGTTCCAGTACAAACCTGCATCAATAACTGCTACAGACTCAGCACCATCATTTCATCTGCTCTGAAATAACCTTGTACCTGCGATCACTGATGATCCACCGACTGTAGACTCTTAGATTCACAAGAATCTAACCTCTTAATACTGAGACATAACCCTGCAACAAATCCTCTTTAAAACTCAACTAATCACTGAAGTCTTGTCTTTAACCCAACAAATGACCTGATCTTTGCTTCATACCCATTCTGCATCTTCCCTTTCAACATGAATACCAGAAAACTCTTTATTGATACTTGACAGCCCAATACCCATAAAATTCAAGCTTATAAGGCGTCCCTTAATCCCATGAACTCTATGAGTTTCCGAGGCCATCATCCCAACAGTAATTGAACACCAACTGTAGCAGACTACACCAAACTAATTCAAACCCAAAATTCAGCATGAAAACCCAACACTGAATCTTGGCCAATCCATTTGTAAAATCAGTACATAACCTTGTGTTCCACCCAGCTTTCACGTCCTTTGAATATGCAGATCTTTGGGAGACCCAGAAACTTCAGATTAGAGTATCACACAAAATACCTTGTGTAGCAGCGGAATAAGAACATTTCCAGGATCTGAATCCACTCTTCACCCGATGAAACTTTCATCTTGCTTGCTTGTAGAGCTTGTCTTGTTGAATGATGCTTTGATTCTATCTTCATAGGTTTTAGTCAGAAAACCTTGACTTGTACCTTCTTGAACCTGAACCGAACTAGTACTGCAGAACTCCACCTTAAATCAAGTCAATGCTGATTTAACTCTTCACATATCAAGAACATCATCTTTAATCATGTGAATTCAGCATCAGTCTTTGAGTTTTCTTACAAAGACAATATTTTACCACAGAAATCTGCCTTAGGTTCACCGGAAGTATCACTGATTCAACCATGACTCTTCCCTTCACTATTCACCACCAAAATTCTCCTTCCTTCATGATGAAGTTGCAGAACCACGAGCACATTTTCTTCTCCTTTCTAAACGAGAAGACAAAACATCTTCACATGGGCTAAATTTCAATTTAAGCCCAAAGCATGAACTTTGCAAAGAAAAACAAATAGGCCCAAGAGGAATGTTGACTAAAGCCCAAGTCAACTCTACGCTTCTTCTCCTTTCTTTCTCGACGAGAACACTGAAGCTCCTCTTTTCCCGATCACGATCCCGGTGGACAACGTTGGACAACGCTCCACTTCCCGGTGAATATCTATCGCATTTTCAACCTCCGGAGACTTCTCCGATGGCCGCACAAGCTCACGCCGAACCTGTGGCGATTCTTAACTCCTTCCGTGACTGTAGTTTTTGCTTCTTTCGGCGGTTACTCCGGTAACTTGAACCCTACTGCCTCTGCGATTTCCACTGATTTCTTTGCCGTTGACAAGAAACACCTTCACTAGAGCCTCTGATTTCATGAACTTCCGAAATCAACCTTGCTCTCTTCTGATCTGATTTACTTCAAGATCTTTATCCCTTTCGTCTCGGACTCTGGTTCTGCTCTTCTCGGAGTCAAACAGAACCTCGAGCCCATTCCATCAGATTCTGCCTTTACTGGCGAGAACCTCCTGTATCAAGAGTTGGTTTCAAAGAATTGATCTAAATTGTTTTTGCTTCATTTTTATTCATACTTATATATATATATCGTTCAGTTTAAGCTCCATTAATTTCAAAGCTTCTTGGAACTTTCAGTTGCAATGTACATAGCTTCTTGGTATCTTAAAAATTAATTTGTTTTTATTAATACAAATCTTATTCGGACCTACGTGCCATAGTAAATCCAAACAAGAATCGTCGTTTCCTTGCCATTAAGCTTTACAAGGAGAAAGTGGAGACCCACATAAACAGTCGTTTCCCGCGAACACGCTAGCCGGGAACTTTGTCACTGGAAGCTTTCCACAAAGATGATTTTGACTCAAGTTTAGTTCTTTCAGTCCAGCCACGGACACTGGCACCTTCCCAAATACCAAGTTTCTTGACAGATCCAGCTTTTGCAGCGTCTTCGCAAAGGTCAGGTTCCCCAAATCGAATCGTAGTTTGTTCCCGGACGCTTGGAACTCATACAGACCCTCCGCCTTGTTCAGGAACCCTGTTGGATTCCCTGAGATCTCATTTTCTGAAAGATCGATATCAATACAAGATTTGATTCTCTTTGGTTTCCATTTGTCTAAGCTCATTTTGATCCCACATTTAGCCAGCTTCAAACTATAGATGACAGGTGACTTCGTCACCCATTTCGGAATAATTTTAAGCTGAAATCGGTTATAGGAAAAATCCAGAGAGCCAATGCCATCGATGAACTTCAAGTTAGGGAGTGGACCGGTGAGTAAATTGTGGGAGAGTCTGAGTTTAAAAAGACCAGTCAGATTGGCAAAACTCATCGGCACGACTCCTAAGAACTTATTCATTGAGAGATCCAATGTAGAGAGCGCTTGTAATCTTGATAAATAGTTAGGGATCGTCCCTGTGAGATTGTTTTGGCTCAAATCGAGGTACGTGAGTGTTGGTGCAAGTGATGCAATCGACGAAGGAAGTTTACCAGAGAATCTGTTGCGGGAGAGATCAAGAGATTTGAGCTCTCTCATGGACTTGAAAATCTCTGGGATAGTGCCAGAGAAGCGGTTGCTGGCTAGACTGAGCCGGTTTAACCGAGTCCAGTTGGATATTGAACTTGGAATCGGACCAGTGAACTGATTATCTTCAATAGTCACATCTGTGAGCCTTAGAGCGCCTATGTTAGCCGGAAGGGGACCAGAGAGATGAGTGCCCGAGATGCGAATGAAATATAGCTTTGGTAATTGGAATAGGAATTGGGGAAAAGGTCCAGTGGTCTTAAGAATGGTGAAGTAAACCGCCTCGAGGTGCTTAAGTTTGGCCAGCGATGGTGAGATAGTTCCCCAGAGATAGCCTCCAGATCCTATCATCAGTTCGGTGACGTGACCGGTTTTGCAAGAGACACCCATCCAGGAGCAGCAGTCGGTTCCTTTCTTCCAAGAGCCGAGAATGCCTGAAGGATCTCGGGTTATACCTGATTTGAAAGCTAAAAGACCTGCCTCATCATCGGGGTGACATGTGGCTGCTCGGGTCGAGCTTAAACAAGGGAGAAAGATAAGGGCCGCAAAGAGGAAGATAGTGAACGAGTAAGAGTTCATGGTGGTGGCGTTGTGTGGTGAGACTCTTTACGTAGCTATCTATTAATAACGAAAAGTTTAAAATCCATCATTTTTTTTCATTTTTTTCGAGATCCATAATGTAGAAATTTTATTTTTTCGAGAGCAACTTGTACGTAGCTTGTATTACATAATTACTAGACCTACAGAGCCGACTCGAGAACTGCGTAGTTTAAGCTAGATCATTCCAATTTCTCTTTCGCGTTTTTTTAATTTTATTTTTGTATTGAAGAGCATATATTTTTCAAAGTCACGTTTCGATAGAAAAAGTTGACGGTTTTTGACCGAACCAGCTGCATGTGGCAATAATGGTGTCCGTAATTAGGGATTTTGCATTATATATTTATATTATTAGTGATCTGACTCAATGTATGGGTAAGAGTACTACAATTGTGAGGTGTGTTTGAAACGTGAGTGATTGCTCAAGTATCTAGGAATCAGTTTATCACTTTTCGCCTGCATGTGATATACGAATCTGTTACAAAATGAAATTTCACAAAATTTTCATAAAAATATTCAAAATACAAACAGTAGCAGATCCAGAAAGATACTTTACCGCGATCAATATATTGTTATAATTGGTTTATCCTCTTGAATCTTAAACATATACCAAAATTTTATATCATTATATACTTCAAATGGTGATAAAAAACAACAATTAATGGTTAGTAGTTAAGTTTGTATGGTGCCATTCGTTTGTGATGCAGAGATATATTTGGAAATATTTCAAATATTTTATTTATTTATTTCATTATTTAAAAAATACGTCTTTTTATTAGTTTAAGATTTTTTAATGTTTGAATTTTTTATAAATAAACCGTTTATGTCTAAAATTGTATTCTATTTTTAATTAATTAATAGAATTGAGGTTTTTTTCTTTTTGTTTCTTGTTTTCGGTAGATTTAGAACAACTAATCTAAAAAAACTTGATTTATTTAGAAATTTTTAAACTAAACGAATTATTTTGCAATTATCTTTAAATTGTTAAACAACCAAGCATTTTAATTCAATATTGATTATCTCCTTTATTCACAATTTACTAGAAATTAATTTGAATATATAATCTCCACAAGTCTTCATTATTGCCTAGATTTATTGAACAAAATTCTGAGACTCAATAAAAGACTCTGGTCTCCATCATTTGGTCTCTCTCACTCTCTATTTTTTACACACTGAAAAACTTACATAAAACACAGTAATATCTCTTTTTTTTTTCTTCTAAAAATAAGTCTGAGAGTATTCATAGAATATAAGTTCGTCGATTCTATAATCAGGTGTTACAATTATTGTTTTAAGTGGTTGTATATTAGGATTTATTATCTCAAAATCCGTCACACTAGAAATATTTTAAATTAAGGGATTATAATTTTTCTATAAAATATATTTTTCCTGTAAGTCTTTTATAGTTTCTATTGCAATATTTGTCTCTACTATTTTACTTCCTACAGATAATGGCGGCTACATGAAGAGAGTGAAGGAGCAAGAGGTTATGATGATGGTGTGGTTTGTGCCGTGGGATTGAAAGAGGCTTTTGGTAGCTAGTAATAGAGGGAGAGAGCTAGAGAGACGACTTGAGAGCTACGAAGTCAAAGTCGACGATGTTGACTAATCCATTTGCATGTGGCATTAAGTGGTATAACATACCGCGTTATATTGATCTTAAAGACAAGGTTCATTTCATTATCCTAAAGCCGCAACTCATACATTTCAATCCTTCACAATAACGAGAAAGAAAATGATACGAGTGCTTTTGTTGTATAACAAGTAGGTAAAGTGGTGGGAACCATAACGCTTATATTTTTAAAGATTTCAGGCAACTTCACAAGCTTTGGAATATAAATCTATCTAAGATCAGATCATAAGATGCACGGTGAAGACATTAATGAACAAGATGAGACACACATTGTATAGATATTCATAGACAATCATCGAATCGAATTATGAAACTCAATGAATCTCTTAAACCTAACAAGAGATCTACACAGAAATGATTAAAAAAAAAAAAAAATCAACCTCAATTCATAAGAAGACTTTTTTGTGCACAAAAGTCTTAATTAATAATTCATAAGAAGACATTTTATTAAAATCGAATAAAAAGACAAAGGATTGAAAAATATTCTCTAACAAATATACATAAGCGAGATTTTCTCTCTTGGAAGTTTTACACGAAAACAAAACAAAATGGTTCGAAAAATTTATGGACACCCTCCGTCTAAAGTGGTTAAAAACGTGTATTGATAGACCTTATGTATAAACTAGGGCGGTTTAGGTAAAACCCAATCGAAAATGGAAAATTGCATCTTCTAAAGGGTTGGACCCATGATGGAACTACCAACTAGACCGATCACACGCAAAAGAGCTCTGTCCTATCCTTTTTTATGGTCTATGTTTGGACCGATCATATGTTGGTGTACTCCATTTGGTCTAGTTGGTAGTTCCATTCTCCATTGGTCTAGATCGAGTACGTACGTGCTTATGCAAAGAGCCGTGCCCTGAGTTTTTTTAAACTACAAGCAAGAAAAATAAAAATGGCCCCTTCAGCTCTAAATAATTTAGTTTAAGCCCACAATCATCTGACTAATTTTAAGCTCAAGAAGAAGATTCTTATATATAGTGCAGCTTCCCTTTCTAAAATTTTTATGTTTGACGATGTGTGACAGATTAATAAAGTGTTTTTTGTAAAAAATAAAAATTTAACTACTTTGCGTAGAATCGAACCTGGGTAAGAAGAGTCAAGCCTACACAAACCAAAACCAATTGCGATAACATAATTTATAGAAAATTGGCCCACAAAAGATATTTAAGGTCACCTGCCCTGAAGCACATGCTTCATTAGATAGTTTGTGCTCAGACACGATTCTGCTTATGCATTGGAGTCGAATTGCAAGACCATTCTTCACAAAAATTAACGCATCTGTCAAAATTCGTTCAAATGACGTGAAATCACTTTCATACAAAAGCTAACTCCTCTGGCTAGTTTCTCACCAAATTTTAGCTCAATTCATTTCAATAGGATAATATTTTTTTTTTTTGAAAATATGTTAAATTATATTAAAAAAAAAAAATGTTTTTTTTACGTAGCTTTCTTAGAAAGAGATGAAAGAAATATGGTTGCAGAAGCAAAAAAACAGAGTTATGTCAAAAAAACAGAGCACGAGCATTTTTTGTTGATCTTCAAATGTTGTTTGCTTTTATCCACGTGACTCCAACCACACTTCCAGGCCGTCGTTGTATCGGTTGTCACCTCCCCTGCGCATTGAGCTTAGCCGGTTTCGAACCGTTTTATCCAGAACACCAATCAACCTCTGCACCGGAGTAGGAGTATCGCCGTGAAGCCGTCCATTCCGTTCCCTCATAGCGTAGTAAGCGTGCTTTGAAACACCTACCTTGCCAGAAAGAGCGTCGTCTTCTCTAAGTTATTCTGTGTGAGAAGAACTATTAGCTCATCCTATTTGTTAGTGTATTGATTCCGCAGTAGGATTTGCATTCGAAGAACAGATGAGCTCTCGTCTCCATTGAACACATCATTATTTGCAATTATTCTAAACATGAACACAATGTAAAGAATGACATACCCCTTCCAAAAACAATTCTACATGTTGAAATACTATCTTTTATTTACCAGTTATAAAACTATACATAATCAATTAATCACAAAGATTTTTCCAACTACATGCATAATCACATTTTATTGGTTTTGATTATTGTACGACTACATTATAAATATAACAAAAAAATCCATTACTCTACAATCATTTAGTTTAAATCAACTTATTTTCTTAAGGATTCTTTTAGTTTCTTACATTCTTTCCATTCCTCATTTTTTACCAACAATAGAAGTCACTAAATACAACAATGCAGAAGCGTTAAAAACTTATAAATACTACTCTGAAGTTTCACTAATACATATCGTTGGCCATACAAACATACTTTGGGTATCAGGTATGTATGTTTATGTATGTTTGTATGTTCTATTTTTACCTAAAGTTTGGATTGGTTTTGAACATACTTTTGGTCGGTCATGAATATACTTTAACATACTTTGGGTCAGTTATTCTAATGAAGTGTCTTCATATCTTAAAACTACTTTATTTGTTATTAATAATAATACAATACAAATCTTATTTGGAGCCAAGTGTCAAACTAAATCCAAATACCAGTTTCTAGCTTTCTTGCCCGTTTAAACTTTACAAGGAGAAAGTGGAGACCCGCAGAGACAGTCATTACCGGCGAACGCACTAGCCGGAAACTTTGTCGCCGGAAGCTTTCCGCAAAGATGATTCCGACTCACGTTCAGTGTCTTCAATCCAGCCACCGTCGCAGGCACCTTCCCAAACACCAAGTTCCTCGACAAATCAAGAGTTTTCAGTGTCTTCGCAAACTTCAGCTTCCCCATATCAAATCGGAGTTTATTCCCCGCCGCACGGAACTCCACAAGATACTCCGTCTGGTTCAGAAACCTCGCCGGACTCCCTGAGATCTCGTTTTCCGAGAGATCGATGAAATCGTAGAAGTAAGTCTCTGCAGGCTTCCAATCGTCAAATCTCATCTTGATTCCGCATTTCGCTAGCTTCAACGAGAAGATGATCGGCGACGAAGTCACCCATTTTGGAATCATTTTCAGGTGAAATTGATTGTACGATAGATCAAGAGATTCGATTCCTTTCACGAACAATTCAGGGAACGGATCGGTTAGGAGATTGTGTGAGAGATCGAGATTGAAGATTTTTGTGAGATTCGCGAAGCTCTTGGGTACGATTCCAGAGAATCGATTCCTTGAGAGATCCAATGTATCGAGGGCTTTGAATCTCGATAAATAGCTCGGGATGGTACCGGAGAGATTGTTCTGGCCTAACTCGAGGAACCTGAGAATCGGCGAGAGAGACGCGATCGACGGCGGGAGATTACCGGAAAATCTGTTGCGAGAGAGAGTTAGCGATCGGAGCTCCGTCATGGATTTGAAAACATCCGGGATTGTTCCGGTGAGACGGTTACCGCCGAGATTTAGAGACGACATGAGCTTGAGATTAGCAATCCCTAAAGGGATAGTTCCGGTTAAGAGATTATTGCCGAGATTGAGCTGCGATAACCGAGTTAAATTCGAAATCGAACTCGGGATTGGACCCGTGAACCGGTTTCCCTCGAGACTAAACGCTTCGAATTGGCTTAACGAACCGATGTTAACCGGAAGAGGACCGGAGAGACGGTTATTCTCGATGTAAACGTATATAAGCTTTGGTAATCGGAAAAGGAACTGGGGGAAAGATCCGGTGATGTTTTTGAGATCGGTGAAGTAAATTCCGTCGAGGTGTTGGAGTTTGGCTAACGACGGAGAGATAGTGCCGGAGAGGAAACTTCCGGCGACATCAGACTGTCCGGCGACGGTGAGTGCGGTGACGCGATCGCCGGTGAGACAAGTGACACCGTTCCATGAGCAGCAAGCAGTACCTTTCTTCCATGAGCTGAGAATACCCGAAGGATCTCGGGTTATACCCGCTTTGAATGCTAGAAGACCCGCCTCGTCATCTGGATGACACGTGGCGGCTCCGGTGGGGTTTAGGCACCGGAGAAAGATAATGGCGGCGAAGATAAAGAGAGGGAAGGAAGAAGAAGAGGAAGAAGTGTTCATGGTGTGGTGTTGTGTGGTGGGAATTGAGAGAAGCAAATTGTAAGGTTAATATAGAAGGAGAGTGTCGGCTCGAGAGAGCCAAAAAAAAAGTCAAAGTTGACGATTTTGACCAATCCATTTGCATGTGAGACATATAATTAAAGGTTAGGGATTAAATGTATCCGTAATCGTGGTCGAGTTTTATCATTCCCAAGTAACAGGGCTTGGAAAAGACTTTTTTTTTTTATCAGATTTGATTTAAAAACTTGATTTGTCTGTCTTAATATAAAAGACTTTTTTTGCGGAAAAACAAAAAAAAAAATTCTTTTGTTTCTAGTGTAAAAGATAATTTCTTCTTCCTATCATTTTTTAAAGCATCATTTATTCTTCTATATCAAGTTTAAGTAATATTTTCACTAAAAGCATGTGCAATGGGAGAAACCCTCATGGGTCTCTATCCCTTTTTTTATTAATATTATGAATTGTTTTATAAGTAGAAACTTTAGGGAGAGATTTTGTAATTTTTGAGGGTTCAATGGAAAAAACTCAAATTGATCTCTAAAAAAAAAACTTAAGAAATAATTTTTTTTTGAATTGAATGTTTATTTCATTGATAGAGACTTAAAATTAAAACATTACAACAAATAAAACATAAAATATATTACATTAAACTTCAGTTTTTATTTTGTGTTTAGCCAAATTTTTGCCATATATGTTCGACTAAATCGGCTTTTAATTGATAATGCACTTCTGGTGATCAAATTTTTTTCCGAGTATCCATCATTTTAAAATATTTGTAAGCATAGTTGTGGAATACGAATAATCCACATTAGAACTTCCGCCTCCTTCCCCTTGTTGGAATTCTTCAATACGAAAGTGCTTGTATCCTTCTCGTTCATCTTCTACTATCATATTGTGGAGTATGATACAAGCTCTCATAATCTTTCCGATTTTTTCTTTATCCCAAAACAAAGCCGGATTTTTGACAATGGAAAATCGAGATTGCAAGACTCCAAAAGCACGCTCGACATCTTTTCGATAACCTTCTTGACGTTCAGCAAATAAACATGCTTTTTCGCCTTGTGGTAGTGGAATAGATTGGACAAAAGTCGCCCATTTTGGATATATACCATCAGTGAGATAGTATGCCAGATGATACTCCGTTCCATTGACAAAGAAATTAACTTTCGGAGCTCGACCTTTTATAATGTCATCAAAAACGGATGAGCGATCCAAAACATTAATATCATTAAGGGTACCTGGCGGTCCAAAAAACGCATGCCAAATCCAGAGATCGTATGAAGCAACCGCTTCTAAGACTATTGTCGGTTTTCCAGCACCTCGTGCATACTGGCCTTTCCAAGCGGTTGGACAATTCTTCCATTCCCAATGCATACAATCTATGCTTCCTATCATCCCGAGAAATCTGCGTTCCTCTCCAAAATAAAGTAGACGTTGAAGATCTTCTGCCGTGGGTCTTCTGAGGTACTCGTCGCCAAAGAGATTAATAATTCCTTCAACAAAATTTTTCAGACATGAACGAGCCGTACTTGCACCTAGTCGAAGGTATTCGTCAACGGTGTCAAGTGCCGTGCCATAAGCTAAGAGCCGAATTGAGGCTGTACACTTCTGAAGTGCAGATAGACCAAGTCTACCCCGGGCATCTTTCCTCTGTTTAAAGAAACTGACTTCGTTGGAGAGCCGATGAACAATACGCAAGAACAATGTCTTGTTCATTCTAAAACGTCGTCGGAAAAGATGGTCGGGATAAATTGCGTTTTCGCTGAAGTAATCATTCCATAATCTTATGTGGCATTCTTCTCGATTTCTTTCTATAAAAGCTCGTTTCTTCTTTGATGAGGTTGCCTCTTCTTGATCACCATACTCATTTATAAGATTCTCGAATGTTTGTTCATAAAACTGATCATACATGTCATCAAATTGTTGCTGAAACATCTGATCGAACGCTTTATCAAGGGGAGTGTTTGATGAAGAAGCCATGAGAAGATAAAAGCGTTGACTAAAAAGGATCTTAGATGAAAAAGAGGAAGACAGTAGGAAGATTGAGATAACAAGTGGATGAAATGATATGAGTTTCTGAAATCGAAGTTTATATAAGAGAAAGAGAAAGAGTTTGTTAAGAAGAGAAAGAGTTGTATCGCATTAAGAGAATGACAACTTTGTATAAAAAAGAGAAAGAGACTTGCTAAGATGAAGAATAAAGAGAACAATGATATGAGTTTCTGAAATCGAAGTTTACATATATATATATATATATACCGAATAGAACAATAATACAAGGAAAATGCCAAATACAATCGAACAATGATATGAGTTTTGTGGTTCAAATACAAACACATCTTGTGGTGTCTGAAATATGGACCCAATAGAACAATAATACAAGGAAAATGCCAAACGCTCCACTACTTCTATTATTGTAAAAAGGCAAATGCTCCACTACTTCTATTATTGTCAAATGTCAAATGCTCCAATATTACTTGAAAATATGGGCTCAATACTCTTTATGTATCCACTCGGAAGCCTGCAAAAGTAAGACCCAAGTTAAACTTGTATATTATAGAAAAGAGAACCTTGAATTGATGACTACTATCCCTAAAACATACTCTTTCCCATTCATCAATAAAACATTACACATCATTATAAGGCCACAAACACATTTAAATTAAACATCTAAACAAAAGATAACATAATTTAGCCTGTTCACCTAAAAAAAAACTTAAACATCTAAAAACACAAGTTTCATCTTCGGACATCTAAAAACATAACATAACAGATACAAGTTTCATCTTAAACATAAAAGACAAGGTTGCAAATCACTCATTATGCAACAACTCGGAGATGAGCTTCCCCTTCAGAGCTTCTTCGGTTTAGAGAGGTGTCCCTTCGCAATAAGGGAATCAAGAAGAGCCATCTTTTGGGTTTCTTTTTTCATAGTCATCTCTTCTTTTTTCATATTCCACATATTGCCAAAGACGTTAACAGCCTCCACCACGTCCATCTTCTTGCCTTTAGCCTTTGCGGCTTTAACACCAGGAGGCCTGGGAGTTGACTGAGTAGCAAAACAAGTATTGTTTCCATCTCCATTTCCCTCTGCATTGGCATCCTCGGTCTTCCTCCTTTTACAGCTGCCATCGGTTTTACTGGTTGACAAATCACACCATTTTTGGTCGTTCTTCAGTTCCTTCCAAGCGTATTCGAGAGTGAATTTCTTCTTATGGAGATTGAAGAAAATAGCATGAGCATTTTTGAGAATGTCATTTTCGTTTTGACCGCTTGTTCTTTCTCTTGTTGCAGCCTCATAAGCCCCACAGAATTTGCTCACAAGATCATTAATCTTGTGCCATCTTTGTTTGCACTGCCCAGACTCTCGGATTTCTCCTCCCTTTTGATTCGCCGCAAAGTACAAAGCAATGCGACTCCAAAAAGTGCCACTTTTCTGTTCATTTCCTACAACCGGGTCCTTCGAGGTGTTCAACCACGAGCTGATGAGGAGGGTATCTTCCGCAGGACTCCACGGTCGTCTAATCACCTTGCTAGTCACTCCAACCTCTTCTACTTCTTCGGTGGAAGCTTGGGTACCGAAGGCATGGTTTTCGAAGGAAGGGTATGGATTTGGGTAAGGTGACACACTCTCTTGTTGACTTTGTAAAAGATCAACAAAGTTTGAGGTGTTGCTAAAGGGAAATGGAGAAGACATCCTTGGACAAAAGAAGAGAGGACAAGAAGGATTGCAACTGATACGAGAAGAGATGAAAGAAGATAAGACTAGATTTTTGGAAGTGATACGAGAAGATAAGAAAGAAGAGATGAGCTTAAAAAAAAAGTGTCCGAGTTCAAAGAGATGAGAAAGATAGGGCTTTATACTAGCATGAAAGAAGAGGGAACAAAAGTGTCCGCTAAACCCTAAACAAACATTAACTACACACTAAACACAAGCATTCTACCCAACCTAACACAATATGCATTGATCACAAGCAGAAGAGACTTGACACATATCTAACTTTTACATTAACTAATCCCCTATTCCATTTATTATCTAACACCACCTAAACCCACATCAAAATAGCATTTACTACAATTAACTAGGAAGTGATTGAAGCTAACCTTTTTAGGAAGTGATGATATCCTAAACCGCTCTGCTTCTTCTCTCCTCTTCATGTCATTCCATCTCATTTACTCATTGTGCAGAGAACAAAAACAACAGTAAATATGAGTTAGGTGAACACAACTACACAAACAAGACAAGTAATCCACACTCAGAGTTAATGAACTTCAACTACAAACCAAAGAATCAACTTTAAACCCATTCACAAACTCATACAAACTCATCTATCATTGAGCAAAACAAAATTATCGATACTTAAAGTTCAAAACAAAGTCATCTATCATTCGTCGATCAAAACAAACTAAAAATTGTTGCCAATCATCGTAAACCCTAAACGAAATCAGAAGACCAAAGACAAAACCATTAATCAGCCAAGACAAATCATTTCTCGATCATAGCAAACCATTTCATCCGATCATCAAAAACCTAAATCAGCATACATATCCAAGCACAACCAATCATCGCTACCTACCTCTGAACCCTTTCAGTAAACCATTTCATCCGAGGTATTCAATCTAAACCCAAAAATCAGAACAATTTCAATCGATTCTTCGTTTACCTTCTCCAACGGTTCCATGGATCCAGAAGCTTCAAGCCTTCACAACTCCTCGATTCCGCCAATCAGCTGTTCAGAAGACATCGCCGCCACCGTCTGAAACTTGCTGACAAAGAATTTCGATGAAATCGACGACTTGCGATTCGACGGAGATAATGAAGAAAGAAGAGAGGAAAATGGTTTTGGGAGATGAAAAAATTGTTTGAGGACCCAAAAAAAATTTTCTCTTCTCCTTATTTTTGTGTCCAATGATTTTTCGCCACGTGTGTGTAGAGAAACGTTTCTCTCAGCTCTAATTTAGGCGACGTCTCTCTCTTCTTTTGTTGTTTTTGATTTATTTAATTAAGAGAAATTAGGTAGAGACAGGGGTTAAATACCCCATTGCACATGCTCTAAGGGTATTTCACAATTAACTTGGGAGAGTGATTAGTATTGTGAACACTTCATACGTTTTAAAGATCTTTTTGTTGGCAGTTGATATTGACCCAAAGAATAAAAGTCAAAGATTTGACTGCTTAGATCTACAATTGTTTGACTGTGTCTGTGTGCCTTTCCACTCTCCAGATATGAATACACTAGTCCACTTTTATAATTTTGTTGGTAAGAAACTTGGTTTGTTGTTTTGTAAGCTTCATGATTTCTGGGATTTTCGGTTAATTCATATATCAAAAGTTGAAAAAAGTTTGATTCATACTCGAAATATAGTGTTTTGCTAATTCATACACCAAGTTTAATTTTATTCAATCCATACCATATTAAAAAAGCATTCGGTTCAGTCATAATCTTTCATGAGGTTGTTAGTATAGATGTTAAGTTTTGCCAAGTCAGATGCCACATAAGATACCATATCGTTTTGTCGCGCGAGTTGGACTTTTCTACGTGAATTCTAGAGGTGATCAAATGGACTTAGTAGTGCTAGAGAGTTAAATGCCTCTCTAGTAAACTGATAAACATACATCGTTTATGGCATCATCTGATCGGAGGACACAACGCCATTAATTGCCAAAGCTTGGGAATCAATCCAAAGTCTCACATCGGAAGTTTAGACCAATATGGTCTATATATAAGTAATATCCAACTCCAATTAGTATGAGGCCTTTTGGGAAAGAGTCCAAAATAAATCCGTGCGGACTTTGCCAGTTAGGCCCAAAGCAGACAATATCATATTAATTGGGAGAGTTGGACATGGGCTTGGAAAAGCCCAATAAATGGTATCAGAGCCAGGTTAAGAAAAATGGACCTGGAGAAATTGGATTGGACTGAATGTTCGTTGTGAGAAAGAAACCCTCAAGGTGACCTTGCGATTAAGAAGTACAAGATGGTACAAGATATCGCTGGAGTTTAGAGATCAAGAGTTATAGGGTCTTTGGCTTGAGGGGGAGATTGTTGGGAGTCAATCCAAAGTCCAACATCGGAAGTTTAGACCAATATGGTCTACTATATAAGTAATGTCCAATTCTATTTAGTATGAGGCTTTTTGGAAAGGAGCCCAAAACAAATCCGTGCGGGCTTTGCCAGTTAGACCCAAAGCGGACAATATCATACTAATTGAGAGAGTTGGACATGGACTTGGAAAAGCCCAATAAGTTCCAGAAACATGGACCTTAGAATGTATACTCTATTATCACTAATTTTATTAGTTTTTTTTTATTTGGACCTCCTCATTGTCATGTATTTTAATTAGGATTCACTAGGTTGACATGAACAAACTTAACTAGAGGACAAAAATATAGCTAAATCTAGATGCTTAGAAGTTAGAAGTGCCAAAAGATATTCTGAATCAGCGCCTAGCTAGTATATTAGAACATGTGCAGTAGTGAATCTCATTATGGGGTTCATCAGATTAAAATAATATATGTTTTTTTTTTCGTTTTTGTAATGAACTTTATGTTATGTTTGAAGTTCCAGTAATGAACCCGTTTATGGGGTTCATCCGGAATATTATATTAATATTTTTTTTTTGGGAATTTTTTTTGTAAATAAAATAAAACATTACTTATTAAAAAAAGAATACAATATATTGCAAACTATAGAATACTACAATTTAATAATAAAAAAATACAAACACCCAATTTTTAAAATATAGAAATACTTAAACATTTGTTACACATTTAAAAAGTATCAAACTTATTCCAAAGATTTTCGATTAAATCTGCTTTTAATCGTTCATGTATTCAATAGTCACGGATTTCGTTTCGTTTCGCCATCATCAAATTTGAGACATTTGTCGGTCTATTTGTAGAATACGACATATCGACATACGAATTTCTGCTTCCCTCATCTTGTTGGAATTGTTCTATATTGGCGAGACTGTAGCTATCACGTTCATTTTCTACTATCATATTGTGTAATATGATAGAAGCCCGCATAATCTTGCCAATTTTTGCTTTATCCCAAAAAAGAGATGGATTTTTAATTATTGCAAATCGAGCTTGAAGAACGCCAAAAGCCCGTTCAACATCTTTGCGGACGGATTCTTGAGCTGTTGCAAATAACTTATTTTTTTCTCCTTGCGGAAGAGGAATTGATTGTATAAAAGTAGCCCACTTCGGATAAATACCGTCTGTTAGATAGTTTGGCAAACGGTACTCGTTACCGTTAACCCAATATCTCACTTTTGGGGCTTCACCATGGAATATGTCATCAAAAACGGGAGAATGATCAAAAACGTTAATATCATTTAATGTACCTGGAGGTTCAAAAAATGCGTGCCATATCCAAAGATCTTGTGATGCTACAGCCTCTAAAATGATAGTCGGCTTTCCTGATCCGCGTGTATATTGGCCTTTCCAGGCCGTAGGGCAATTCTTCCATTCCCAATGCATGCAATCAATGCTTCCTATCATCCCAGGGAAGCCCCGTTCTTCGCCAAGGTCCAGTAAGCGTTGGAGATCATCAGGTGTGGGTCTTCTTAGATACTCATCTCCGAACAAGGATATTATCCCCTCAGTGAAATTTTCCAAACATAACAAGGCCGTACTAGCACCAAGTCGGAGATATTCGTCAGCTGCATCAGCTGCTGTGCCATATGCCATCATACGAATTGCTGCCGTACATTTTTGTAGAGCGGAGAGACCTAATCTGCCGGTAGCATTTCTTCTTTGTTGAAAATATAGAACTTCATTGGATGGGCGGTTAACAATACGGAGGAACAAATCCTTGTTCATACGAAAACGGCGTCGGAATGTATGTGGAGGATAGGTTGCATCATCACTGAAGTAATCGTTCCATAAGCGGATGTGGCTTTCTTCCCGCTCTCTTTCAATGAATTTTTTTTTTCTTTTGCTTTTTTTGTGCAAGCTGATTTAACATAGAATCAAACTTGTCATCAAATTTCTGATCGAACATGTCATCAAATGCATCATCTTCAGCATCATCGACTGAATCTTCATACATATCCTCTAAACGATTGCTTGAAGATGCCATAGTGTTTAGGTGTTAAAATGTTTGTAATAAAAGAGAGAGATGTGTAGAATTGATTTGTGGAGAAATTTGGGTACAAAGTGCAAACGATGCCTTGAAGATTTTGATAATAAAAGAGAGAGAGAGAGAGAGAGAGAGAGAGAGAGAGAGAGAGAGATGTGTACAATTTGATAATGAAGATTTTGTGCAAACGATTGCTTGAGACTTGTGATAATGAAAAAAGTCTTCGAGCGTGTTTGCAAATAGAAGTCTTTGAGAGCATATAAATACAGGAGTGGCAATAATAAGATAGTGGGAAACATAAGGTCTAAATTACAACATAAAATATGTGGATAGTAGAGAATACAACAAAAGCATATGGCCCCTCAAATTTTGTTGCATATGGTCACGGAAGTGTCAGCCATAAACCTGCCCAAAAAAAAACCGTGAAGGTCAGAACAATTATATGAGTAAATCAGACAAGTAAATGGAACATCAAAACAACACACATCCAATCAAAATAACAAGGTCATAAATAAAGCAATCAAAATAACCCAAAGCAAAACATGGTTCATAACCGATAACCAAACATAGTCATACCTAAAGCAAACAAACTTCAAACAAAACCGAATCA